GGGAGAGTAAAAGACGACAGAAAACGAAGCGGGCCAGGAACCCTAGGCAAAGCTCGCGTCAGATCTCATCATCTTGGCATACGCACAAGACTCACCTTTATTTCTCTACTCTTCCTCATCACCACCCTCCTCTTCCTCTTCATCCTCTTCATTCTTTTGGCTCTCTACGACCGCCGTCGCGATCCGGTCCAAATCTCTTTGACCGTCCTGCGAGATTCGTCGGCCACCATCCGGTAACAACTCTAAAACACCAATCTTTTCAAGAGCTTGGCAGACCTACAACAATAAGTTACACAGAAAATATATTGAATGTGACACACCTTTCGTTGGACAGAGGTGGACGAGTCGGCGTGATGCGACGGTCGGTTTCCTCGATTGCTCCTTCCACCGTGTAATTTCGCAAGGGCACCCACACCCATCGACTTGCGGAGGTAGATATGTCGGGCAACAGCCGCTACACATCCACCATCAGCCACAACTCTCTCAGTAATAACGACAACCCCTACTCACCCGCTCTTACGTAGAACCAGTCTGGATCGTAGGGACCTTGTTCCTTGTAGGTAGCCGTCTTGACGAGATCGACCCAATTCGGGACCTCGAGCTTTCCAGAACGCTTGAGGTGAGAAGCATACGCTTCAATAAAAGCTTCAGCGCTGAAAGTAGCGTCAATATTTCGTCCTTGTACCAGGTCAATATTGGAATGGGGATAAGGCGGCACGGCACATGAAACGAGTCTAGCTCGATATTTTCGCAAATGTCAAATTCAAAATGAATTTTGATGCCAAGTAAGGTGGATGAAGAGGGTATAAAAGGCCACTCGCGACGAGTGGTTTTGGCATCAGCTAAACGATCCCCCAACGCTCGCTCACCTAACGTCTCGTACGCCTGGCATTTTTGGTCTTTTATAGTCTCCTCCTGGATTAAATTTTCGGGATACAAGGATTTAATAAAAGTTGGGGAGGAGAGAGTTGTTCGTGGTCCAAGTTCGGTCGGTCGTGGCCAAACAAGACCACACAACGCGCTACCCGACGGGCGCTCAGTCGACAACGTCGCGTTCGATGACAAGGAGCAAATTATCTTGAAGAATTTCTCTCAAGTTGTTTGGGTGGTGTAGAGACACGCGAGTGTCGTCGAGGTCGTCAAAGTCGTCGTAGGACGTGGACCCATCTGGAAAAGGCCAACTCTGAGAGTTGAACTCTCAATACTCGAAATAGCAGAGTCCAAATCCTCACCAACCAACATTCACGGTCCTCTCGAGGGCCCCTCGGGTATATGCGAGGACAATCTGGACCCCCAATACAAACGAGTTAATGATATAGACTCGACGCGGAGAAACAAAAACAGCATTACATCATGCAACTCATCAAAACTCACTCAACAATGGGTGCGAAGGGAGGAGGGACACGCGCGCCCAAAGCGGCCGTTTCACCCATGAACCAGTACCAACGACGACGAGGAGTTGGATGAAAAAAAGGCTTGGATTCTGGCAATTGGGAGTGTTTCTTGGTTGGCTGGAATATCCTAGTGTTTCGTGGGGCGCGTTATCTCTTGCATCCTCTTTCTAGTACCAAAGACAGAGAGCACGGACTTACATTTGACTACCTTGTGCTATTCGTAGGGAACCCTAATAAAGCGCCCTTGTTGTTCCCCTCAAACTGTTTCGCCCGTGTGTCGGTTGTCGTCAGTCGGTGTCCGATGGACGAAGCGACGCCAAAAACAGCGTGTCAGTGTGCACTTTGTGTGTTAGGTTTATGCACCTGTGTGTTAGGTTTAATTAAGAATGTGGACGGAGAAATGGGTTATTTTTGGTTCGACAGGGGGTGTTTGACGTCGTCTTCGCCGTCGTCGCGCCCACGCCCACGAAATTATTTCGAGCAGCGAACAGCGAGTGCAGCGAGTCGTCCGCTCGCTGGCAGACCCGGTATGAACCCTCGCTAGAGATGCTGTTCTTGCCTGCTTCTGTATAACGCGCGGTATTCTAGCGCTGTGGGGTGTTGGAGCAGCACCGTCTAGTAGCTTCGCGTTGGCGTTGGCGTTGGCGTTCTGCACGTTCTCGAGCGGGGCTTTACGAGTTACGCGTTCTTGATTGTTCACGGTTAAGGGGTGTTTGACAGCGACCCTCGGATCAATTCTTTTCAAGCGCCGTCCGGAGGGTGTCTCTCCAAATCCTATAAGAA